GACCCTGGAGCACGGCCTTGAAGGATGAGCAGGAGTTTGGTGGATGTAGAGGGTGACAGGTAAGGGTCATCCAGGCAGAGGGAACAGCATGAGGGAAGGTAGAGTGGCAGGAGAGGGGATGCCATTGTCTGGGGACTTCAGGTCAGACAGTGCAACCATAACGCCACTTGCGAGGGGGGTCTTCAAAAAGTTCATGGAAAATTCATATTATCTTTTAATTCTTTTTATTTTTTGTTCGTTTTAGAGAAATGTTGTGCTTAATGGTAAAGCTTAGCACACTGCAGCACCAGGAATGGCATGGAGTCGAAGCAGCAGGGACAGGTAGGTGACACCCACAGAGCCTCACATGGCGAAGAGGATGAGGAAGGAGACCATCAAACAGAAAAGCCCCGTGTCCTCAGAAAGGGCAAAGCCCAGAATGGCATAGGAGAAGAGATGCTGCTTGAGAGACGGGTTCCTGCCATAGCCAGTGATCAAGCTGCCAAACACCATTCCAATGCCAGCCCCTGAATCAGCCACACCAACTGCAGCAGCTCCAGCACCAATAAACTTTGCTGCTGTGTCAATATCTGGGTGACAATACTGGTCTGGAACTCCCATCTGGCCACCTGAAGTGGGGAGCTGCTGTAGGAAGCTGTTTAGATGAGTTCTCTGGCCTACTTACGAAGGAGGCAAACATAGGTCCGATTAGACCCCTGGTACAACAGTGGGTCAGAGCCGGAGAAATGAGTAGTGCCCTGGTGGTCTGCATTTTTTCAGTATCCCAGCTTTAGCCCTTCAACTTTAATCAGGAGTTAATGATACAAAGTATGGCTATCAGAATGGATATGATACTGTTTCATCATAACATTGACCCATGATTTGTGAATGGACTGACTGGGGCTAGCAGGGATCTCAAGACTCCTTCCTTCTTATCAGGCCTATGCTAATGAAACCCCTGAGAATTAGGGTTCCATTCACTCAGCATGCAGGGAAATTGCAGACAATTCCCAAAAATGCATCAGGGTGGTACATTGGTCTTCTAAGTAGGGGACTTGAAGGGAGACTGGGTGGGAAAGTGAAGAGGGGACACAGTTGTCAACCAGAGAAAGATACCTGGTCCTTTTCTCTCCAAAGAGCACAGCTCAAGATGGAATGGGCTAGGGACATAGCAGGAGGGATGCAGGTGAAACATGAAGATATTAGCAATGACTACTGCGGTAAAATAGGAACTCTCCCTAGGTAGAGCCCAACACCACTGCTCACCAAAACAGAAAGGCCACAGGCACTTGGCTCCAGAAAGCTCTCTGGAATTCTCCCACACTCCTAGGGAAGAAAGTAGCTTTGAGCAACAGAATTTTCCAACATCTCTAATTCTGACAAGATCATCACATCACAGCGATCCCCTGTTCCCAGGGGGTGGGTTATCCGACCCTACGGGGAGGGTGAGGAGCCATGAGAAGGGAGAGAGATTGGAAAACAAACTCAAATAACATAAAATAATTTCTAAACATTTTTATTTCAAATCTCATTTCACCCCTCCCCAAAAAGACATGGGTTGGTACAGCAATCATAAAAAGGAGATACAAACACAAGAGTCAAATGTCTCCCGCACTGACACTTACAAAAAACTGGTAATTGTACATGGGGTTTCCAAACAGGACCTGCAGCAGCTACTACTGTCCCCTTACGAGAGTCAAACATGCCTATTATTACAGTATATACAGACACCCCATTCCGGAACTAATCTATAGGGACATCCCAACACCCATCCCCTCTAGCCCCAGAAAAATACCGAAACACAGCCAAAGTGCATTTGTTTTGTTTATATCAAAACATCTTTCCCGTTCCCCATCCCACCCTCAGACCCTCCCACACCATTTAAGATTGGCCTGCAAGTCTATTTTAAACATTTAGTAATTTTTTATAGTTTATGAAAATAAATTATACAGCAACTATTTTAATAAATTAAGGACAAAACGGGAGAGTAAAGGAGGAAAACTAAATGGGAAGACAAAAGCCAGGCCACGCTTTGGCTTGGAGGAGGGCAGGACTGGCTAAAGAGGACAGAAGTGGTTGCAGGTGTGTGTGGCTCCTCTCCTCATAAAGAACTGGCAACCACCCTCAGCCCAGAATGACACCCCTCTTCACTGAGTTTCTTAAAAACCAGCAAAAATGTACAGCAGTGGCTGTGCCACTGCCAGCACCAGTTTGGGCATTCCAACGACCAGCCAACCACAGAGCAGTGCCTGGATCCTGCTTGTCCCTTGGACAAGGTTCTGGGCCTAATAGTGAGGGGCAGGCTCCTGTTCAAGCAAGCACCAGAGATGGAGTGGTCAGACGAGCCCTCCCTCCACCTGAGCTGGTTAGGGTGCCAAGGACACAGCTTGAGCAGGGCTGTGTGGTTTGTAATTATCCTGAATTCTGATGAAGAGTGTCCTAAGTTTTCCTTACACTCCATCTTCAGGAACAACCATGATCGCAGTCCAGCTGCTACCACACATTCACACTCCCCACCACGGCTGGCTGCTCTTTGCCTGCCCCTTGATGTCTCTTGGCACTGCCAAGGAGGGTGGGGGTAGGAGAGGGGAAGGGAGCAGTTCCAGGTACCCTCTAAGATGTAACAGGAGTGCAGGCATGTCACAAACTCAGCATGCAGGACTGGCTTCCCCAGAGGTAGGTGGAAGTGGGAAGGGATGGGAGAAGGTGTAGAAAAGACAGGAAGGGAAACAGGAAGAAACTGGGTAACACCTACCAGGAAGGTCAAAAAGCAATGGAAACGACAAAGACAACATGAAATCTGCACGTAAAGAAAGGTCTTTCTCTGGCAGATTAGGGAATCAATATTTTAAATACGACTCCTTACTCTTTTTTCTAACTGTAGTACTTGAGTACCCAGTGCCTGTCTCTATGATCTAACCCCCATCTCACTCCTCCCAAGACTTTGCTCTCAAATTTCTCAAGGCCTCCTGTCACTTTGTGCTGAGGACGAAGGCTCCAATGTCAAACAGGATATGGGATCTATCATGGGGACTTGCAGACTTGACCTCTGTGGTCCAATAATCCTATAGCTATCATAGTGGGGGGCGGGGGGAGCACACATTTCTTTTTTTTCTTTTTCTTTTTTTAATAAAAAAGGTTTTACTCCCCAGGAGCAAATAAATCATTTTGAACTACTGATAAACACTGCTGCAGTGAAAAGAAAGATGGCTACATGTATGCAATAGCACAAATTCAGTGTAAGAACAGCTGCGTTGACAATTAGAGATAAAAATCACTTATCCATTCCCCCCATTCCCACAAACCAAACAGAGGATTCCCATAGGGAAAATGTCTAATTCAAAAGCTCCTCCCTTACGGACAGGGGGCATGTCATTCTCTAAAAAGTAGAAAACAAACGCTGGGTCTACCCCTAATAGAGATGCCCTCAACACCCCAACTGGTGGCAAGACTTCTGCAAATGAAGACACACACACACACAAGCACACACAAGACTTCTGCAAATGAAGACACACACACACTCTCTCTCTCTCTCTCAGACCTCCTTTCAGCAGCCATAAAGCTACATCCCAATGCCTCGTCCTCTAACTTCAGGGCTCAAAAGCTAAGATAAAGGCAGTGGGGAAGGGAAGGATCTAACCTAAGGAAAAAATTCTTCCCATCTCCACTTCCTGCTGGGACCAGAGGGCTTCAAGCAGGCCATGCTCTTCTGGGGGCCCAGGGATAAGGGCTGACAAGGCTGGTACCCCAGGGTACTTTTGGTGCTACTCCAGTCTCTCACACCTGGATCTGGGAACCATAATCACCCCCCTCTCCCCAGTTCTTCCTGAATGTACATTGTAGGGAGATTTGCAGCTATCTCCGCATCATTCCTAACCTCAAGAAGGGGCTTACATAGTCAGCCTAAGTGAAAAGTAGGGAAGAAGAAAGGAGTACAAACTGTGGAGTTGAGCTCCCTGCCAAACCTTCCTTCTCAGGAGGCTGGTGCTGCTGTCCACGGCTCAGGTTCCAGGGCGTTACATTTGCTGTAACTAGGCATGGGCAGGTGACCAGGCCCAGATCATCACCAATGGTCTCAAACTGCTAAGAGCCAGTTGTCACCCACTTACTAGTGCCCCGCACCAAAGCCCCTACTCCTGAGCTCCCAACATAGCACGTGTTCAAGTGACAGCAAGCTGTAGCAGTAGTTGTCACTAGCTCACGTTGGTTCACACCCATCCTGAGCAAGGTTAAGGTAGATCAGTCATGAACTAGTGAAGGTTACAAATGCAGGGCCTGAGGGTACTGACATCACCAGACCACCGCTTAGAAATCAACGGCTGGGCCCTAGAAGTGAGAACCATTTCCAGTTTGCGGCTTCAAAATACAACCACCAGAAAGGAATAGGTTCCCTCTGTAGACTGCCTTTCAATGAGCACCGCACAGCACTGGCGAAGTGGGGGGGCTGGCCGGGAGAGGTGAAGGGTGAGTGCTGCCCGCTGCTCGCTGCCCCTGCTCTGCTCTGCTCATGCTCGCCAGGGGCGCCCCACAACTGCGCTGCCCACTCCTCCTCACCCTTGCCCACTGTGCTCTCCCCAAGGCTGCCCACGCAGGCACAAACACCAAGCCCACAGCGGCTGCCTCCTCTTGCGCTGCCCGGTTTTGCAGCCCACTCTATTGAGGAAGGATGAGGCTCCGGCCTGGGCTGTGACTAAAGCACAGACACAGTTGAACACTGCCCTCCCCAGGAAGAGAAAGAAGGTGGGGCGTGCAGTTGGCTCACTCACGCCTCCTCAGCTGGTTTGGTTTTGTACCTGAGAATATGAATTCTCCAGTAGAAACCCCAGTACCACTGGGGGTGCAGGCGCTCTGCCCCCTCACACGGCCTGAGCTGACAACAGTGAGGTCCATTGCAATGGGCAGGAGCCTTACTGACTTCTGGCTCTGGCTCCACCTCACCATCATAACCCCTCAGCATTCACAACTGCCTGATGACTGGGAAGTTACAGTCTAGAAAAAGAAGTTATGGTCTGAAAAAGAAGTCTTTAAAAAAGAATCCTTTATTTGAACGGGGCTGTGCACTGTTGAGTACACACCATGCAGATTTCTGCTTCCTCACTTCTGTTCACGTGTTTTCTCATCTCACTGTCCTGCCTACAACCCAAAGCCTCATCGCCACAGAGCTTTCCCAGACCAGCTGGTGTACCCTGATCTTACCCACTCTAAACATCTTTAAAGACAGTCCTTGACTCTCTGCCACAGTGAGTCATTTTCCAATTGCTTCATGTGTGGCAGTCACCTAAAAGCTCCCTGAGACCAGAGATTTCTTCTACCTCTCATATTTTCCACAGTATCCAGAGCCAGGGAAACATACATTAAAAAATAACTCAAAAATTAGGGGTGGCTGAAATGGAAAAAAGAAGAGATCCCAAGTAGCTGCACATCAGACACTGGAGGATATCAATGGATTCCAGACTTCAGGCTCTACAGTGGGGCAGCACTTTTCCAGAAGATGGCGAGTTACTTGCACCCTCAAGAGGTAAGACTCACAGGTTAAACCAATTTCTGGGATCATAATCCTACCTAGTTGGTAATACTGCCATGGAAGCCAAAGAGAGAAGAGGCACCACATGACAAGTCAGAGGTGGGCTGCGCATAAGCTGCAAAGCTCATTGTGTGAGCTACCTCTTTACAGCTAGGTAATGATGCACGTTTCCTCCCTGTTCAGCTACAAGCAAGAAGACTCTTCATTCCATGCAGGGCATCAGGCAGAAGACCAATACTTCCAATGAGGCAACACTATAAACAACCAAGACACTGGGACCTCACCCCATACCATCAGGAAACCACAAACCTGACAATATTATTTATCTTGTGAGATGAGGCAGACAGGACACCAAAAAACAGTCTCATGGAACACTTACTATAGAAGAGTAATAAAGACCCAACAGCTCAACGGTCACATCTCAGTAGCAAACATCTTCCCAAAGAAACTCTACAGGAAAGCAAACTCATAACATCATAAGACTTGGCAATGGCCAGCTGCAGAAATAAAGACAGTTGAAAGCACTGGAATTTTTCTCTCCCCTTTTCAACATCCACCTGGAAGACAGGCAGCTCTCAAATCAGCATCTGACAGACTTCCCAATGAATGGAGGGCAAACAGGATCTGACTCAGGAAATGTGTGGGTTGCTAGAATAACACTGGAAAACAAAAAGGCCCTTGCTACCTCCTGACCCAGTGATAAACCTGAAAACATGAGCTGTGGTGCTATCCTCCTCTGATGTAAGGAAATCCCATTAGGGCTGAGCTACTAGGGAGCTTTCTCTGGGAAGAGCGCAACTACAATCAATGGTTTCATTTCTCACCTTCCTCCACACTTCCTCTCACTAGCTGACAGACATACGGAGGTAACACTAACTCCTAAGTCATGGGTACGGTTTGCCATTAAGAATCTGGAAGCATGCTCCATTAACCTCAGTAGCCTGTGACTAGAGCTCTGAACCGCTCAGGTGATGAGAAATACTACTGCCTTGACAGCTGGCGGAAGCAACAGGAATAATGTTACCATGACCAGAGTGAAATGTACAGTTATCTCAAGGGGGACCCAGTTGAGGGTGGTAGAAGAACGGGGCTAACTTCAGGTCAGAGAGCTTAAGGAATTTAGTAAAACAAAACTAATACAGCTTCCATGAGAGGTGATTCTGAAGTCAGGTTTCTAAACCTTAAAAGGAAAGGATTCGAGGAGTCACTACTTCCCCCAGCAAAAGCCATTTGCCAGTTTTTATCCAGTAATCTTCTCTTTGAGACCACCCACCCTCCTTTCCCTCCTGCTCCTACTGAGACTAACCCACGGCAATGGGAAGCAGACTCTCCTTCCCTTGGGCACTTCCGATCCTGCTTTGTGCTTCTCTGGCTCCTCCTCCCTTCTTCGAAGTCCATGGTGAAGACTAACTCTGCCTTTGGCACCAGCTGAGCCACTGTCTCCTCTCCTCCCACTCCTTTGGACCTGCTCACCCTTTGCACCACTTCCAATCCAACAGGCACAAACCCCAGCTGCCTTCGAGGTTGAGTTCTCAAGAAATGCAATACCAAAAACAAAACGTCTGAAAAAGAAACAGTGTTGAGACTTTTTCCAGTTTTTCAAGGAGCTTATCCAGTTCCAGGATACCACAGGGGTGGACGTGGACAGTGGAACCCCCACCCAGGAGTATGGCTGTGGGCTTCTTCTAAGCCCTAGGGCTGCATAGGGATACCAAAGTCTGCGCAGAGAATCCCAGCCCTTCCTCTTTATTCTTGTTTTTTCTCACTCTTCTTTTCATGGTAGCTTCATTTGGTTCTTCAAAACTGGAGCTTGGCAACCAAATGCCTAGGCAAAAAAGAAAAAAAAATTAGAACAGTTCAACAGAGTAGAACCAAAATGGAGTGGAAGAACAGCCCAGCCACTGGAGGTAAAGCAGAATAGCTCAAAAGGAGAGTGGAGCTCTCCACAGATACTGCAGCTGGCTGGAGGTGCAGGAATGGCCTTTGTCGGGGGGCTGGGGGCTTCTGAGCAGCCTGTGACTTGGACACCAAAATAAGATGCTGAAACAACTAATAAACATATCCCACCACTTTACCTAAATTCTCTTTCTTTTTTCCTTACCCCTTAATTTCCCACACACCTTTCCCTCCACTTTTTCCCTGAGCCCACCTGCTCTAGGGACTAAAAAGGGAACCGAGCCCCTGGAGTAGCCCCTTGTGAGCCTGACTAGAAACAGAGCTAGGTTTCTGCAGCTTCGGGCTCCTGAAGAGTGTTGACACGGAATCACAAAGGCCAGCGCAACTTCTACCTTCTGACTTGAGATAGGCACTGGTGTGACTATTACTCTGCACCCTGATTCCAAGCACCTGGCATGAAATTCCCCAGGTAACAGCACACCCAGACCAAGTGGGTCATTCAGAACTAAATTACAATCACCCTGACCAACAAGAATAAGGGCCAGATTTCACTACTTAGAGAACTTTCCTTTGGGAAGTGTTACTTCCCCTTTTTCAAGAGGTTTCAGAGTCCAAATCAGGAGCATACTTACATTATACTTATTTTTTGCTACAGGTAACAATCTTAACGGCACAGCAGAAAGGGACCCTGGGAGTCCAGTTCAAACCTTTGTCAGTATATGACTGCCCCAACACTCATGACAAATGGCTACCTTCTGGCCTATACCTGATCATACCATGCTCCTTCCCATCTTAGGTGGAGCCTTTACACTTACAGGTCCCCTTGTCCAGAATGCTGTGCTCCCAGATCCTCGCATGGCTGACTCCTTGATATTCAGATCTCAGCTGAAATGTCACCTCCTCATGAAGCTTTTCCTGATCATCCAAACTTGAGCAGTACTCCACCACTAATCACTAAACTTCAGTTTTATCTTCCTAACATGTATAATCACCTGAAATTAGCCTATTCGTTTATTTACATGTTTGCTGCCTGTCTTTCCCTGTAAGGGAAGCTCAGTAAGAAAGGGCCTTTGAGGGCCGAGCCCGTGGCGCACTTGGTAGAGTGTGGTGCTTGGGAGCACGGCGGCGCTCCCGCCGAGGGTTTGGATCCCATATAGAGACCGGTCCGCTCACTGGTTGAGCGTGGTGCGGGCGCGACACCGAGGGTTGCAATCCCGTTGCCAGTCACGGTACGGGCGCGACACCGAGGGTTGCAATCCTGTTACCGGTCACGAAAAAAGACAAAAAGTAAAAAAAAGAAAAAGAAAGGGCCTTTGAGGGCCAAGCCCGTGGCACACTCGGGAGAGTGCGGCACTGGGAGTGCAGCAGCGCTCCCACCGCGGGTTCGGATCCTATACAGGGATGACCAGTGCGCTCACAGCGCTCACTGGCTGAGTGTGGTGCAGCCGGTCTCAAAAAGGACAAAAAAAAAAAGAAAGGGCCTTTGACTGTCTTGTTGGGCCTATATTCCCAATTCACAAAGCATACTTAACAAATATACAGGTATCTGCTGAATGAAAACTCTTGAGGAAAACCATCCCATTTTTGGACCTTCTCTATTAAAAATGTTCTTCTAAAGTTGGACTGAAACCTAACTCCTTGTAACTTATATCACTTTAGACTTTGTCCTGCCCTAGAACCACACAGAATAAGCTTAACCACTCTTCTCTAGGCAAACCCACCAAATACTTTTTAGCTATCCCACCCTAAAACTTCTCTGCTCCAGGTAAATCATATTTCTTGTCCATTCACTTATGATGGACACTTCCATATGATGAAGTGTGGAGCCCCCACCACCCTGAGGCCTTTCTCTGTGTTTGTGTTTAAATGGTTCTTCCTCGGGCACAGCACCCACAGAAGTGGTGCTCTAACTGAGGGTCCTGATTACTCAATGGTGCGGTCAGATAGATGAACCTCCCTAGTTCCCCTCTACCTTCCCACCCTCATCTCAACTGCAAAGCCAGCATGCGGTGAAGTCCCCTAGACATGAGAGCACTTAGAGACGTTGTAGGAGTCACTTCCAAGGCACACAATTTGCAGAAGAGATTGTATACCTAGTCCAGGATCCTTTAAGTTTAAAACTCCACAGACTCCCAGAGTTAGCATTTCTTGGTCTTTCTTTTTCATTCCTTCTCCTCTTGCTAATCTTTACTAGTCCAGCTTACATGTTTTCCCCCAATAGCACAGGATAATGGGCCACTGGAGCCAAGAGAAGACACGCAGCTAGGTTCACCTTAGCCATGGCTAAAGAAAACCCATGGGACACTAACACCAGCTGTCACTCTCTCTCACTATGAAGACAGCAGAGAGGGTGGAGAGCTGAAAGCGTCCTTTGCACTCTAAGGATGTTGTTCCTGTGGGTTTTTTCCCGTAGTTTGTTTTGTGTGGGGGTCGGGACTGGGAATAGAAGACATATTCAGTGCTTAGAAAGACAGGGGTCATTGAACATCGCAATAGATACTAGAATGTGAAATCTTGCTCATCCTAACACCACCGAAGTCACAACTCTGGCAGTTGTGCTCCATACTTGCCTCTACCTTGCAATGTTCACTTTAACACAGCTTAAAAGACTAATTAGAATTCATCTGCACGAACCAGTATTCTAAGGTATTTTATGGAAAAACAAATGAGTACAACTCAGTGTAGCAGCGGCCCAAATGGAACTCCAAATAGACAGCAGACTATTTTTCTTCATCCCCATATTCCAAGCTGTGGGACATGGGGGGGATCTCACTGAAGTGCACGCCTACTGCAATTAAAGGCATGTTTGCATTCCTTTTGATGGTTTTCTTCCCCTTTGGTTTTCCGCTTTATCTATCATTTGTGCAATATCAGGGAGATCAGCCAAAGTAAGTTTGAGAGAAGGTTGCATACTTAGCTACAGTGGTGTGCCCTCCTCCTTATTTATATTCGGTAATTAGCTGGCATGTTGCTTGGCAAATATTCTTTAAGCCTTTTGTGTCTGTCTGCTTTTCTCCCAATGGGGTATATGCCCCTTGAGGACTCCATTATCAGATGTGGTAACAATATGGGCAGATGCCTAGATCAGGGACATACACAGGGAGTGGGGAGGAGTGGGGGACAAGGCTCAATGCATGATAACTGCCCTGGAGAGCAAGGCAGAGAGAGCTCATACCCTTGGTGGCCACCAGCAGGAGCCCCTCGCTACGTGGAGGGTTCCACCTCTTGCTTCTGTTTGGAAATGAGCTGTGCTTCCTTTAGAGACAGATATACCTCTTCCTGAGGATCATAGTAGTAGAACTTCCGGATATAAGAGATCAGAGGTCTGTGGAAAAACAAACAAGAGGGATAAACACACAGTGTTATTTATATAGAATATAAAAAAAATACCACTTTTGTTCAACTCTTCATTCCCTATATGGTTGAAACTACATGGAAAACGCTCTATGTAATGAAATTCTCACTTTCTCACTTATTATAGTCTGTCTCCCTCTCTCTTACCACTTCCACTTCACTCTTCATGGAGATTGCAGAAGGGAGGCCGACACACACACCTTCCTCCCTTCTGGCTGCAACGTGACAGTTCTCGAGGTGGGTGCTAAGACACAGGAGAAGTGAAAGGATGGTGCCTGTGAATACTGTATGCCAGGCTCTGCCTGTATAAACAGCTTTGCAGCCTTCACTGACATCTGTAACTCACCCTCCCTTCCTACACCAACCCTAATGACCCCATCGTACTTAGGCAGTGGGAGATCCGGGATGTGATCTATCCGGACAAGCTGTCGGATCCGGAATCTGCAAAGGTGCTGGAGGGATTTGACATTGCTGAATCGGGACACTGGATAGAGCAGCTGGACTGGAGTTGGCGGCAGTCCTTCAGGAATGAAAACAGAGGGAAATATTCAGAGGGAACAATGCAGCTAACTGCAACTTCTCTTATAAAGGGAATCCAGGGAGGGGAAACAGGGCTTTTTTATCATTCATACATGTATTCTATGGAAAAGCCCTTCCATGAAGGACTGCTGATTTCCACTTGCAGGAGAACCACTACCACGTTCTCCTTATCCGAAGGCCTCCCTAGCATCCTCTTAACAGCCGAGAATCCTACTTCCCCAGAACAGACCAATGAATAACACCAGGCTAGAGACTTTGCTTAGAGCCAGGTGGCCAATCCCAGGCCTGAGGCTCTCAGGGAAGGGCAAGAATCAAAAGCATCCCTATTGGGAATGGGAGACATTTGTTTGGCAGTATCCTGAAGGTGAGGACTCGGGAAGGCTGTTCAGAGGGGTCCCACCAAATTCTAACTGGGAAGTAGAGAGGCTGGTAAATAGAAGACAATAGCTAGGATCAAAGCTGACAAATCGATCACTCTTGCTATTTACTTCAAGCCAGGATAATCAGGTTCAGCCACCTCTTATCCATCACCCCCCACCCCGCCTCCCACCCCCACTACTGAAATTTTAAGCTGGGGTACAGGAACAGAAGAAAAGAAGATGATGCTTTTAAAAGAACTTTTACAGTAGCTTGAAAAAGCTTGGATTAGTACTATTTGGCACACAAGTGCCTGGTGACTGCTGCCAGCCAGGCTCAGTGGGAGTGCCACACCCTACGTATCAGTGGGCTTAATGCCAGGGAATCCTGACCTCGAAAGAGTCCACATCACAGAATGGAGACACCCAGAATGGCAGGGACACTGAAACAGGGTCAAGGGAGCTAAGAAAATTCTGTCTCAATAAACAAAGGGGATATGGAAGGTAAATAAGCAAACTGCTTTGAGAAATAATCAAAGTTGCAAAATCTTAGAAAGAATTCTTTTCTCAGCCATTGTCACATCAAAAGAAATTCTGCAGACATAGCTGGTCAAAAAATAAAATAGCTACTATTATTGGGGTTTAATTTCAAACAGTTTTTAAATCTTGTTTGAAGGCATAAGAAGAAAGAAATTAAAGCCTGCAAGATTGCTTCCCAAAGCTTTTTCATGGTCGCTGACAACTGGCTTTCTCAAAAAAAAAAAAAAAAGTACCATACATATTGTACTGTTACTAAACAAATAAGCTTATATTTAAAAAACATTTAACACTTTTAGCCTTCAAAACTATTCTTTGCGACAGATACTACCACCCTCATTCCAAATATAAAGAAACTGAGGCCCAGTGAACTTAGAGAATTTGTTCATGGCACAGAACCAATAAAGCTAGCCTGCACTGAAGTTATCAGTGGCTCTGCCGTAGCCCAGTGAACCTCTGAGGGGGGTTCTCCAGGCGTGTCACAAGAGTGCCTGCCCCTCTGACTGTCTGACAGCGGGAAAGTCCAGGACAGTCACCGTACCTTGACTCATGACCAGCCTCCCACAGTCCCTTTCTCCACTCTCCCCTGCTTCAAGCCTAAGGCTTATATTTTGAATCACTACAGTCTTCCTCCTCCACCCAGGTGGTTGGTTCTCTCCATTAAAAAGAAATTCACATAAAAATTTCTCTCTTGAATATATTTAATTCAAGTGGTTTTAAAAAATGATTTTGGGTTCAAGGGCCTCTGTGAATTTGTCCTTTCCCTCACAGGTATTTATATATTGTTTAGTAAATTAATCTATGGCAAAAAGAAAGCTTTGGGGGTTTGTTTGTAATATTGGTAAATTCAACATGATGTTTCAGAGATAAAAGTAATTTATGTATCTAATAATTTATTCCCATAGATACAATGCTATAGGACTTATGCTTAAAGAGATCAAGATAATATGTAACATACAATTATCTGATTGTTTGCCTACTTGCATTTTTTTAGGGGTGGAGTGGCAGGCTGGTAAGGGGATCTGAACCCTTGACCTCAGTGTTATAACACTGCGCTCTAACCAACAGAGATAACTGGCCAGCCCCGACTTGTATTTTAATGACCACGTATATTTGCCTATTTATTTGTGTTACTTTTAGCCTTGAGGTTCACTAATAGCTATTTGAAATCTCTTAATTCTCTGATATTACCTGGTGCCAACCTGATCATTTACTGTTTGTCCCAAAACATAGCAAACGATTTGAGCTCTCACATTCAGAGCATGTTAACAGAAAAGATTAGAATTGAAAGGAAATTCACGATAAATACCAGTGCAGCTGAAACAGTGATCATTAATAACTCTCCTCTGGTGCTCATGCCAGGGGTCCTGGGCACAAATCCAGTTCCCAGCCACATCACTATTTTTTTCTTCTCCCAACAAGGACCAGGTTGGGGAAAGAAATCTCTTCCAGATATGAGCACCCCAACACCCAGGTCTTTCTGCCACACCAGAAGTCTTTTTGCTCCCTGAAAACCAGAATCAGATCAGGAATCATATCTACTTCATAATCAAGGTCTCATTTTCTTAGAAATGTAAGTATATGGCTGGCTGATTAGCTCAATTGGTTAGAGCATGGTGTTATAAGAACAAGGACAAGGATTTGGATCCCTGAACCGGTCAGCTGCCAAAAAATTTTTTAAAAAAGGAAAGAAACATAAGTATTGTAAATACAGAGGGAATAAACTAGGGAGCTTGGATGACTTTATATGTAATCATTCAAGAGGAAAAAATAAACATAAGGTCAAGGGTCAAAAGTTTTCAGCTAACAGGGAAGTACTGTTTAATACCCCATTCTATTCTTCAGCTTTAGAGAGTTTATAAAAAGAAAAACTATACAACATAACAAATTCTTAACAATGCATTTTTCTGGGGAGTGGGAGTAAGAGTTGGAGGGCAGAAGATTCGCTTTTCCTTATATAGTCTTGTGTGCTATTTGACTTTTTTACCACATACATGTTATTTTCACAATTTAATAATTAAAATTAAGAAAACAATTCTATTTACAACGGCATCAAAAGCAATCAAATACTTAGGAATAAACTTAATAAAAGAAGTGTAAAACTTATAAAAAATTACAAAATATTGTTCAAAGGGTTTAAAGAAGACCTTAACAAGAAGGAAGATACCCCATGTCCGTGGATCAAAAGACTTAATACTGCCAGTACAGCAATACAACCCAAACTGGTGTACAACTCAAACCCTACCAAAATCTCAGTGAGCTTTTTTGAAGAAATTGACAAGTTGATCTTAAAATTCATATGGAAATGCAAGGGACCCAAAATAGCCAAAACGATCTTGAAAGAGCAGAACAAACTTGGAAGACTCACTCTTCTCAATTTCAAAACTTACTACAAAGCTATATAGTAATCAAGACAGTGTGGCATAAGGATGAACATACAGCTCAGTGGAAGAGAACTGAGAGTCCACAAATAAACCCTCACATTTACAATGAACTGATTTCAACAAAGATGCCAAAACAATTCAATGGGGAAAGAAATATCTTTTCAACAAATGGTGCAAGGACAACTGGATATTCACACGAAAAAGAATGAAGATAAACCCCTTCCTCACACCACACACAAAAATTAACTCAAGGGCCGGCCCGGTGGCGCACTCGGTAGAGTGTGGCGCTTGGGAGTGCAGCGGCGCTCCCGCCGAGGGTTTGGATCCCATATAGAGACCGGTCCGCTCACTGGTTGAGCGTGGTGCGGGCGCGACACCGAGGGTTGCGATCCCGTTGCCGGTCGCGGTACGGGCGCAACACCGAGGGTTGCGATCCCGTTACCAGTCACGAAAAAAGACAAAAAGGAAAAAAAAAAAATTAACTCAAAATGGATCACAGACCTAACTTAACAGCTAAAACTATGTTTCTTAAAAGAAAGTATAGGCATTAATCTCCATTACTGTGGGTTATCTTCTAAATATAACAAGGAAAAAAAAAAAGAAAAATAGATAAATGGAAGCTCATCAAAATCAAAACCGTTTGTGCTTCAAAGGATATCATTAACAAAGTAAAAGAACAACCCACAGAATGGGATAAAATATTTGGAAATCATATATATCTGACAAGAAACTTGTATCTAGAATACATAAAGAACTCTTATAACTCAATAATAAAAAGACAACCCAATTTTAAAAAAGGGCAAAGAATTTGAATAGATATGCAAATAGCCAATAAACACATGAAAAGATGTCAATATCATCAGTAATTAGGGAAATGCAAATCAAAACCACAATGAGATACCACTTCACACCCACTAGGATGGCTACATTAAAAAAGATAGACAATAACAAGCCTTGGTGAGGACATGGAAAAATTGGAATCCTTATGCATTGCTGGTGGGAATGCAAAATTGTGCAGTAGTTGTGGAAGGTCTGGCGGGTTTTCAAAAAGTTAAACATAGGGATGGCATATGAGACAGCGATTCCATTCCTAGGTATATCCAAGAGAACTGAAAACATATATTCACACAAAATCTTGTGCATGAATGTTCATAGAAGCATTATTTCATTCATAATAGCCAAAAAGTGGAAACAACCCAAATATCATCAACTGATAAACAAAATGTGTTATCTCCACACAATGAAACATTATTCAGTCATAAAAAGGAACAGCGTGCTGTTACATGCTACAACACACAGGAACCTTGAAAACATTATGCTAAGTGAAAAGAACCAAACACAAAAGGCCAATTATTGTATGATTCCATTTATGAAGTATCCTGAATAGTCAAATCCATAGAGACAGAAAACAGATCAGTGGTTGCCAGGGGCTAGAAGGTGAGGGGAATAGGGAGTAACTGCTAACGGTATGGGGTTTTCAATTTGGGTGATGAAAATGCTCTGAAACTGATCGTGGTGATTGTTGTGCAACTCTGTGAATATACTAAAAACCACTGAATTGTTCACTTTAAATGGGTGAATTTTATGTTACATGAATTACATCTCAATAAAGTTGTTATATGAGGGAGGGAGAAACAGCGGGAAGAAACTTCCACTGGCCAAAGATGGTACAATATGAGCTTCAATAACCGTAACTGTAATGG